ACAAAACGGATGCATTGTAAACCAGAACACCTGGCATCGACGAGAGGAACCAGTGGCGGCGGAAGGTATTTTGGGATGGGGGGGCACACCTGATCCTTCCCGGAACCTAGGGTACCCCCAAATCTAGTTTTCTCACCGGTTTTAGGCCACTTATTTTTCACCTCTTGGCCTTTACAACAAAAATAAAAAATAAAACATTTGCAAATAAGTGAGATAATTAGTCTCATCTGAGTCAAGAAACTACCTTTTTGGTAACCTGGAATAAACGTTTAAAGCTTCCACACATGAGCTGTCAAGTCAGGTACAGAGGGGGATTTTTTTTACTTAAATAGGTATTGTCTTCCATTCAGCTTTTCTTTGAGGCCCTCGGCCGCTAATATGGGGAGGACAAGCTGCCCCGACGGTTCCTGGCCCTTTGAAACTTTGCGGGGGCAGAGACCCCCACGGCCCCAGAGTTGTGGGGGCAGGCTGCCCCCATGCTGCCCCCCGGCTCACGCGCCTATGCCGGCTGGCGTCTGGCAGAGTCGCGGGGAAAGGCCTGTGGCACGCTCAGACGCACTTTCGTGACGTCCGTGCCGGGTTACTCGCGTTCCGTCCTACTCTTCCAGACTTCGGTTACCGGTAGCTCGTAGATAGCTCTGCTTGATTTCTGAGCATTATGTGTGGAGGGCGTTTGGTGGAAATAGTCCGTCACGGACTAGCTCGCCGGATAGCCCGTCGTGAAAACGGCTATTATCAATCCAAGTTACTCGCTATATCAACTTAATAAAAAGGTACTCAGCCAAACTGGCATATGTTCCTGACGTAGGTAGTATGGAAGTATTGTGGTACTTCGTCGATAACAATTTTGGGGGGGCAAAAAGATATGTTTGCCCCCCCACCCTGGAAGATGGGGGGGCGCCGTGCCCCCGCTGCCCCCCCGCTTCCGCCGCCACTGAGAGGAACAACATGTTATCACAGCATCTCACATTCCACGGCCGGTTTGTCCCATCCCCACAGTCCTGCTCAGCTGTCTCAGACTGAGACAGACATCCACCACACCAGATGGGACAGATAGCATCGCTCCGCTTCACAGGGCCCCTCCAGCCATCCGTCTGGTTTTATTCCATTGATCCGCACAGCACAGCCGGCAAGGCACACTTGGCCGTGATTTTCCACGGCGGGACATGACTTTCACGACACATGCAGGTGTTCAGATTCGTCCGATCCTCTGCACATGACAAGCTCGCCGCTCTGTGATCTGAGGCGAACTGAGGAGAGACAGGACTCTGGGTCCGCTCGGCGCCGGCACTTCCCACCACGTGGCATGATGCAACGCGCCGGTTCGTGACGACGGGCTGAGTCAGGGCCAAAGCAGTCAGCCAAACATTTCCCTATACTAAGCCAGGAGAGCTTTAACTGTGAGTATTACACGTTTCCTAATGACAACCAGCATGCTTGAACACAACTGTTTCAACGATTCCTAATACCACCATCGCCTCTGCCATCGTCGTGATGCAGCTCAACCCCCCCTTCCCTCGCCCCAGCAACGACCCGGAATTCCTTATTCCTCGGTCTGCCGAATAAGTCCGGAGTCCGGACAGTCGTCACATCGAGTCGTCGCTTGAAAGGTTGCCGAGATCAATCGACCACGGCTTCGACCCAAATCTGCCCACTGACCGCCGCCCAGCGGTGACGCGCCAAGCGCTATAGCCCCCATGGTCATAGCCCACAGCGGGCGCCGATTGGGGCAATGGGTTGACATTGGCAATCTGCCCTGAATCGCGACCCGCGGCGCCGCGTACAGAGATCGAACGCCGCCCGGATGGAACGTGAAGCCAGTCGTGATAGCGCAGCCTACATTGATGTGGGCTGCATGATATATCGGAAGCTACGATTGCTGCACGGCGCGAGTAGGCAGAGCCAACTCGTGTGGAATCCGGCCAATTCGTACAGATGATCTTCCCGCCGGAGGAAAATGCATATGGATTTAGCAGACGAGGGCGGGTGATGTGAATTGCATTCCGGCTGCAGGAGGGTGAAGTAAATTGTTCGGTATTATTTAGAACTGACCCAACGCCACGGATATAAGTGTTAAGGGCTGAGGCAACAGTGAATGAAATAAATCAATAAATTGTCAACTCTAATGTTAGTGGACGCTAAACCTAGTAGCCCGCAGACTTCCCAGGTGAAGCTGAATAATTATTGAGGGATTTCGAAACGAATAAATAAATGAAGCCCCGGTCGTCGAAAGGTCAAGCCTGATGCAACACCACATTTTACAAATATGTCGCAATTTAAACATTCTTTAGAGAGCATCCGGTCCCGAAATAGAACTGTAGACCCTTCAGGCCGTTCGCTCGCTGCGAGATGATGAACAGCTGCGATTTAGGGACGCAATTCGACCCCATGAAGTTGTCACCACTCGCTCCATAACGGTCACAGGACGTGTGAAGGTCAACGTCCTGCCCTTGCCCTCGCTGAAAGTACAACAGTTCAAGCTGCAGAAGACGAGGTGGAACCCATTAAACCCACCATCAACAAGACTCTGACTGTCTCCCGATTCAAAAATAGCCTAATTAGTCAATCACGAAGACAAGCGCCACCGCCAGTCACAGGGTTCGTCAAAACAACTCCTCCCAGGCATCAGTCATTGTTGAGTTATGACGCGTCGCTACCCGCGTGGCCAAACGCTGCCCCCGGGTGGGTCATTCTCCGTTCCGGTCACCAGACGTGTGACGAAGGAGCTGGACGAGGGGCCGCCGAGGACCCTGTGGCCGGTTCAGTGACCGGTCACGGCGACCCGTGCCAGCGCCCGTGTCACGACTGATGTTGTGTCGGTGTCACGGGGCGCGCGGTCGGACCGTATCGTCACTGACGGCGCACGTCCCGACAGATGACGCAGAATCCAACACGGGCCACCCTCCTCAGTTTCCGCTCGCATTTGCTTTGCTCAATGTCCGTTGTCCATGCATCCATGGGACCTCTGCATGGATATCAACTAAAGAGGCAAATATTCTAGGGACACCAAAATTATGCAGGGAAGTGAGTACAAGCATTTTCAAATGCACTCACTGAATTAAAAGGTCAACATGCACTGAAATAAAACTAAAATGAACACGGCTAGCAGCAACCAACTACTGACCTTTCATACCACTAACCCACAATTGCTTCCTCCCCCCTCCCCACCTGCCCGATCGGGAAGCCTTTCACGCGCACACAGCCCTTCCGTACCACCCACAGTCCAACACCATCGTCCACCGGACACCACTGGCCATCGGCCGCGCGTCTCATCAGCGGCGCTCAATGAACGCACGTCGTGGTGCCGGCAGCGAGGGGCCACATTTCACCGGCGACAGAGTTACGACCCCGGCTCGGGGCAGGTCAAACACGGGCGACCATACGCCTCACGACACAGCCTCACGACACCCAGAGGAAATCCGTGGCCGCGCCGCGCCGCGTCAGTTACCAGTGGCAAGGCCGGCTGCGCAGCGGCCAGTGTCGGGGCAACGAGTTAGGAAAACTGCGCGCCTCTTCTGGATAGGTTAATTAGCGACATGAAAGGATGCGGAAATGAGGGCAGCTGGAATCACACCGGATCTGAGCTTCCTGGAAACCAGCAGACAGAGCGAGCGGGTTTTATTCATTTTCTGCTGTGAGTCGTTAAATGCTGAACAAATGATTTCGTTATAGTTCTTCTTTCTTCATTCAGTTCCACTTAACAACACTTCTCGGCGAAGACTGAAGTTCTAACCGGAGTAGAAGAAATAAAAAGAGATTCTGGCTGTGAAACGAACCACCGAGCGCCGTTTGGCGGCGAACTTCAATTCCGACACAGCTGCGCGTGGCTATGACAAGCGCCAATCCGACCGAGCCGCCGCTTCTATTGGCCGTGCGATCGTCGTTCGCTGCTGAGCCGATTCGAGCCGAGTTTCGAGCAGAGTGGAATCCACCCCCGCCCCCGCCCCCGCCCTGCCTGCTTTCCGGGGCGGCGCGGCAGACGGCTGGACGGAGCTGCGATAAACCAGCCGTGGGCTTTCCGGCAGACCACTACCGCTCCACCCGCCGCCCCTTTCCGGCAGATAACCGCGCCGGGAACGTGTCTGGGAGCGTCCTGTCCGCTCTCATCCCGTCATCACGGGCGCGGTTAACCCTGTCAAGCCTCAGCCTATGGCGGCTAAACCAGATGTGGCGTGGACAGGCCGGCGGAAGCGGGCACTGCCCGGCCGAGGGGCCGTCCACAACCCGCCGCGCGGAGACCTTGGCAGTCTGGCGGACCGAAACGTGTTGCCAGGGCGACAGGCCGGGCGCGCGGACCGGCGCGGCGGTTTACTCGCGTATGTAAGCAGGCATGAGGCCGGCTCGTGATCAGCGCACGCCGGTGACCCGTTCCAGAGGAAGTTACCGAGGCATTATCGCGCCCTATCGCCCCCCGGCAGCCGCCCGCGGGCCAAAGACGCGGCACTGCCTTACATACAAATGGCGTGGTAAATTGGGAACATTTTTTGGATCCTGGCCGTGTCGTCGGAACTAAGCCGCTGTCGAAATCCTCCCTGGCCGAGCGCAGCGGGCGCGGCGGGCAGGACTGCTCGGCGTGCGATATCCGCCCTTCAGAGGAGCTGACCGTCATCGCAGTGGTGCGCGCTATCGGTCGACCAGCGCGTTCGAGCCCGGGTCACGTAGCAGCGCTCCAAAATTGATCCAATCTGCCGTCCTCGGTTTGGCTTGCGAAACGAGGACTAGCGAGGAAAATTATGAGACCCAGGAGGAAGAAAACAAACTGTGGCTAGGGTAAAAGACTTTCAGCTGTCAAAAGAAATGAAAACGATATCTTACCACCCTTTTAAAAATGTTCAGAGAAGGGGTTACTGCTTCTCCCTTTTCTCTCGCCTTATTTTGAAACAATAGGTAAATCGGCTGCAGCTAAATGCCATGATTAGCGACTGAGGTAATTATGAGCAAACCAAGTCAAAAGTGTTCCACAAGGCGACCTGCGCTGCCCGTGAGACACGTCTGCTCACCTCAGAATCTCCCAGCGGCGACTCCAGGCCGGCGGACGAGAGTGGCGAGCTCTCCAGCTCCGAGAGGAAGATGGGAGTCGGCGGCGGCGTGTCCAGACGCTCCAGAGCGGCCAGCGCACCACCGTCCTTCGGCAGGTCGGCCAGGAAGCCGGCGTCCATGCTGTCCTCCATGTCCTCCAGCGAGATCACGTCAGACAAAGTCGCCTCCTGAAAGAGCAAGGACAATGATGAGTGGGGTGCATTGATCGGACGTAATAACAGCGAGCAGTCGTGGCCAGCAACAGTTAATTACGTCAATTCACACAAGGAATAGCAATCAACGTCACTGGGATTAATTATTCCAAAAATAATTTACGAAAAGGGCGAAATATCATTCCATTGTGCGGTAACAGCACGAACCAGTACCACTAGCTTTTTGGATACTCCGAAGTCCGAGTCCTCTGATCTTGTTTGATATCACATGACTGATATTTATTGGAGTTAGCGGAATTCGTGCCGTTCTTGAAAAGTCACAAAATGAGAAAAAATATCGAATGTGCTACAAAATTCTAATAAATAGACATGTGTCGCAAACGCCTCCACCCAGCACCTGTTTCACTCCACAACAAATGTTAACGATGTTTACATTCGTCTCAAGGTCGTCTGTAATTTTGCCAGGTAGCAGCAGTTTTAGCGGCTCAGGGCACTTCTCTTCCGGAGATGGCCGGTCAATCAACAGTGAGGCGCCGCATGTCCATTCATATGATCGGAGCTCGGAAGCAGCAATATGATGAAAAGTTTGCATATCAATCGAGCATAATGCGACTTATTCGTTTTTATTAGTAGCGTATTGCGTATAAGTTGCAGAGGAGTACATACCTACCTATTCATTTACAATGTTTTTCGTTTCGTACCTATTCATTCGTTTCCTTTTTAACCCGCGACCGCCTGGGGGGGGTCGGATCCGACCCCCCTCCGTTTTTCTTGAATAACTCATGAACCACTTTCGCTATCTACTTGAAACTTGGCATACCTTCTCCCCCATCAATTTGACGTCTCCTGTGCAATTTTTAAGAAAAAATGTCCAAAAAAAATTGAAATATATCGATTTTAGTGATGTAACTACATGGCGTTTTTAGTCAAAAAGTGGTAAATGTTTAAAAAATCGCCAAAAATCAGGGTTTGAAGCAAATTGCAAATTAAGGACATCAAAAGACGCAACTTAACGAGTTCTTTAAAATGGCTATCTCGTATTTTCCATAAAATGCGTTTTTCACCCCTAAAAATTCAAAAAACTATATTTTTTGGAAAACAGCTAATAAAATCCAAAATTTTGGGAATTTCCAAAAAAACGGAATATATGTTATAGAGCTCTATTAGAACATTAGATGCCCCAAATTTCAACTTTCTATCTTGATTTTTGACCCCCAAATTGTAAAAAATAGCTCCAACATGCATAGGGCATGGTGACGTCATAAGCATTTTCGTGAATTAGAGGCACTTCTGAACATCGCACGTGAAAACAAATGGCACCACTAGATTCCTGGGACAAAGCTCGTCTAGAAAAGTGCATTTTTATGTCAAAAATAAAAAATTGAAAATTGACCTTTTTTCTTAGCCCTCGTTTAGTTATGCATAGTATAAACGATTTTTATGCTTTCAATGCACACTTATCACCAGCACAGTGACTTGGGGTCACATATAACCAGATTCCCGGATGAAAAGTCAAAACGGTAAAAGTAAACGGATTAAAAGTCAAAGGACATTAAGTCAACAGACAGAAAGTCGACATCGCAAGAAGTCAAAGGACAAAATGTCAAATGAACAAAAAGTCAACCTGCCAAAAAGTCAACACGCCAGAAGTCAACAAGCTAAAAGTCAACACGCAAGAAGTCAAAAGACGTAATGTCAAAGGGACAAAAAGCCGACATGTCAAAAAGTCAACGCGCTAAAAGTCAACACGCTAAAAGTCAACACGCAAAAAGTCAACACGCAAAAAGTCAAGACGCTAAAAGTCAACACGCCTAAAAGTCAACACGCTAAAAGTCAACACGCGAAAGGTCAACATGCTAAAAGTCAACACGCTAAAAGTCAACATGCTTAAAAGTCAACACGCTAAAAGTCAACACACAAAAAGTCAACAAGCAAATAACTAGTTAATAGGTGCGCGAAAAGTTGATGCGCAAAATGTAGTCAATAGCAAAAAGTAGTCTTTAACAGCAGTCGTTAACTAAGTCGGTACAAGTACAGGGACCCGCAGTTGCTTCTGTACACACTAGTATTTCAGCGTATTCTTGGCCTGTGACACCGTTGAAGGCGAATTGGGAAATGATTGTGTGCTTATTAAAACCACCATCTGAAGGGCTTTAAACTGATGTGCTGCTCTCCTAATTCAATGAACGTTTTATGGCTGTATCAGCAAAACCTTGTTTTCAGCGCTTCTTCCTGCCCCATTCCTTCTGAAACCTGGAACCGCTTATTCCATTCACTCCTGCCATCTGACGATGGTCGTGCTGATTACTAGTTCCGGCGCTAGTAACTGCTCCAGTTTTGCACCCGGCACAAACTCAGGCGGCACCAGGCCGTGGCTCGACCAGTGAGGGTCGGACCGAGCCGACTGCCTGGGGCGCGGTTAGATCGGAGGCCCTGCTGGGGAAGGGGACGGGAATGAAGGGGAGGGCAGGAGGTGGTCACGTGGCCCGTCCAAGCTCGCACACGACCTGTCCCGCGCCCAGCCATGTTCCGTGATCCAAAATGGCACTCGAGAGCTGTGGAATTCGTGGAGGAGACGCTTCGAAAGTGAACTTCAGTAGCACTATTTTAACATATTCTGTGGAGATAAATGAATATTGTCTTGTTGCAGAAAAATTGTATGCCTAAGCAATAAGCTGTATAAGCTGTATCTTTTTAAAAGCTGTAGGTAAATAGGATTATTTTTAGGGACTTAGGGGTTTCGTATACACAGTGAAGTGTTACATTAAGCCGCTTCACTCTTATGGTTAGAACTGAAGCGTTATGCTTTTTCTCACAGGGAATGACAATACAATAACAATACGAATAAAACCAGACGTTTCGCACAACAAAGTGCCTTCGTCAGTGGCAAGAAATAAGTCACTATAATAGGTTTAGGTGTTATCTCTCGATAAAATCGATGAAGTAGTTATCTTTATTTTTTCGGATATATTTTCAGCAGTTTTTAAAGGGACCCTCCCACCTTCAAAAAAGTTTATGAATTGGCATGAAAGTGATGTCGCTCGGTTCAGAAAGAGCGAAATCGAATATCTACCAAATTTCACCGAAAAATATTCACCGGTTTTCAAGATATTAGACTTTTACTTTTGTTTACTTTTATTGGGATCTCCGCTGTTTCTAGCGACTTTATTTTAGAAGTGCGGCGTTTGCGGCAGATGTTGCGCGCAAATAGCATATACCACCGCGTGCTACAAAACGTTTTAGTCAAACATTAAAAAATCGTTAGATATTTGCGCTGACGTCACACATTCAGAGGGGTATTCCTAAGCATTAGCCCCTCTGAATCAAAATGCTGCAATTTTGAAATTCAATATTTCCGATTTAAGGCATTTCTCGATGTTGTGAGTGCCGAAACCGGTAATTGTGAGCCAGGGACCTCATTTTGGCTATCTCAACTCAAATCTAATGTTAAGGTGGGAGGGTCCCTTTAAGCACATCATGGAAGCATATAAACATTTGTGTATTTTATCGGCAACCCGGCTGGCCAGACCGAGACGGTGCCGCATATATTATTAATCGATGTTAAACCTACACGTATTTTTCTCCACTGACGAAGGCACGTTGTTGTCCGAAAGGTCTGATTTATTCGCATTGTTATTGTATTGTCATTGTCCGTGAGAAAAACATACTCAAGTGGCCTGGTCTCAGTTCATGTAGAAATTGTCGCTCATTCATCAACACAGATAAAATGAATAGGCATTAACCCTCACCACACATACCTACAAATAGAGTTAAGTAGACCCTGCCCTCTGTTTTTCACCAATACCTAAATCGCGTAAAAGCTAAGGATTGCGACGATTCTTTGGTGCCCTGGAGATAATCAATTTTACAGCTTCCCGGAAGAGTAAATAGCCCTTATTATTTTTGCACCTTCCCCGAGAATTTGAAATCCCTGAACCAAATTACCTTTGACCTGTGATTAGTTTTTCTCAAGATCATGTCAGGCCAGAAGAGCGATTGAATGTCAGTCAGCGCACATCTTCTGTGTGTTTCCAGTCTTTTCGTGATTAGGGACGTGACAACATGTGAAATATAATATTTAATGTTTGTCTCAAGATTGTAGTGGGTGCCAAGGTCAAGTGAAACTCAGATTAAGGTCGTTTACTTGAAATGATCTCGGTTAACTTCCTTCAACTTACACCTTTTTACTGTGGTTTTTAGGTAATGTTGGACGTTGTTTTGAAATTTAGCATCCATTTTAGCATTTGAAAACTAGGTATAGTTTGGTATCAGTGTGCCTATGCAACATGTTGCAAGGCTGTTAGTGCTGGTTAACATTCTATGGATAGCCAGCAGAACGCCTACGGCCTAATGGATGATCTGGCGTGACCCGTCCTACCCGAAATGCTTTGATACATCGTCTTTGAACAAAGCAAGTGCAAATTCGAAGTCAGGAGCAAGCCAAGTCTCAGCAAACTTCACTTGGAGAAATTCTAGCAGGACCCAATTTTCCGTGCTTTTGGGTTACCTATTAAGTATTAACCTGATCTGGGAGGTCGACCTAGGATCTCAACATTGACCAGGACATAAAGATAACTGGCTTTCTCTCGTCAGCGATGACCAGGACCCTAAAATCATTGGATTTCTCTCGTCACGAGCAGCACGCTCTTTTTTCTTTTTTCAGCGAAGCTCTGGCCCTTTTATCAAGGGCCGAACAGCTGAATGTTTCTACGCCCCTCCGCTACATGTTAGACGCTGAAAATGCCTAGATTGGTGAGGTTTAAAGGTAGTGTGCCACCTTTGAAAGATTTCCCGTTTTATTTTTCCTAGGATAAGAAGCTTCTGTTTTTACCTAATATCGCAAAAAAAAATCAAAAATGGGCCTGAAATAGTGCCTTTTTCGCCTAAAAGTTTATCGGTTTTTAGATATGTATAACAACTGTAGTGGGCTCACCTGCAAACAGGCGTCGGGCAACAATCGCGAATGCGGCGCACTTGTGACAATAAGCAAAGGTCATTATAGTGTTACGACCATA